CTGAGCCACAGCCTCGCAGTATGCCAACAAAACACAGTCCAGACTCAACTCATGCTATAACTGAGTTTTGTGACCAGAAATCAACCACTTGAAAATGTGTTTGTTCTGCTTCTTAAATATGAACATTATCTGCACAAATCCAATGGAGGAATCCCATTGGACCAGGGAGATGCTGCCTCCAGAGACACTTCCTCCTTGCCCCGCTGTATTTAGCAGCAAGATTATATTTAATCAAAAATAAGACTTGACTCCTATTTTTTTTTTTAAGGTTTATAATTCCCCTCTGTGTTTTGGATTGTGATTGGTCAGACGCTGAGAGATGTCACAATGTGTTGAAGTGCTGGCCAATAGGACCACAAGTGTTACAATGTGATGTCACCATGTTTGTTAGAAAACTCTCACTGGTCCCCGGCTTGAGCTTCAATCTCAGGATCCATGTATTTGTGATCCTCTCCAGAATGGAAGTAGTCATCATGTTCACAGCTGCAGTTGGGATACCTTTATATTTCCCTGCTGTGTTTTTCAGGGCGTCATCTGATTGGACCACGACAGCCAATCGAGGCCTCTGAGGGCGATGACGTAATCCTCCCGTGTTCTGTGTCGCACGACTACAACGTTGAGGGTCTGACGGTGGAGTGGTCCCTTCCCGACCTGAAGCCCGACCCCTCGGACCGCCTCAGCCGGGTCGACTACGTCTTTGTGTACCGGAGGAGGAAAGAGGAAGTGGACATGAAGCTGCAGAAGTTCGTCGGGAGGACGGAGCTGTTCGAGGACGAGCTGAAGGTCGGAAACATCTCGTTAAAGATCAGCAACGTGACGCTCGCTGACACCGGAAAATACCGATGTTTCATCCCAAAGTTAGAGGGCGGCGTGAAGGAGGCGGTCGTACGACTCGTTGTTGGTGAGAAGATTCAAGATGTTTGTTTGCAATAAAGTTGACTTTGATATTGTTCTGTAAATAATAACATGTGTTTCTTTTAGAACCCAGAGCCAACAGCACGTTGACGACAGAAACACAAACAAATTCGCAAACTCCAGATCCAAACCAAGAGACGGATGTTAAAGGTGAGGAAAAAACCAAAAGTCTTCAAATAAATGAAAAGGAACAAGCAGACTGATGAAAAAATTAATTTGTGTTTATAGCAGTTACTGAATATTTGTCTCTGTTTTCCTTGTTTTTCCATCAGTTGGTCAGCCTGAACTACGGATCCTGGTTCTCTCCGTCTGCATCGTACTTGTTATGGCAGTTGTTGGGTTAGGAGTTACATATTTCCTTTTAAAACGATGTGTACGTGAGAAGGAAACCAAACGTTGTATCATTTGATGAAACCAATTCCTGCTGCTCAAAGTGGATTTGAAGAAGGAATCTAGAAGACACTCTAAAGCAGAACAGACGACCAGTCACTACATTAGAGGACATCGACTTCATGGCAGCGCTGCTCTAAGTGCGTTTAACTTTATTCCACTGACAGACAAAAGGAATGATATTTGTAATGGGTTTGTTTTTTTGCCCTCAAACCTTTATTTATTGTCCCTCGTCCTCTTCTTGCCTGAAGGAGTGTACTTTACAATTATACATGTTTGTTTTTTTACTATATTGTCCCACAGAACAGCGATGCCTGTTGCACTGAATGATTGTGGGTTCAAACGTCCTCGTCTAACAAGTTGTTGCACTTAAACTAAATTGAATCAGGTTGCACCTCACCAAGTACTTCTAAAGTAGGGTTTAGCATTCAACGCTAGCTTCTGTTAAACATAGCTTGCTAAAATCTCACCTGTGGACGTATGCAATACTATATCTGCCTGTTTGATTGGTGTTTATTAACAAACATAACACACCTCTAAAAGCAATAATCTATGTTGAGACAATTCGAAAATATTGTGTACATCTAAATGTACATCAAGTGACGCTATGAATGTTTAAAAAGAAAGGAACAATTTCTATAAATGTGAATGTGGTTGCTGTTATTACATTTATTAATGTGCAGCAAGAAGGAGAGCAAACGTTATATGGAAATCATTTCAAAAGTTGTTGATTTCAATTTGGAGTAACTCTCCTAACTTTTATTTGTATGATTTAAAGAATCGGCTAAGAGTTGTCTAATTGAGGACACCCGATGAATGGACAACCTTTATCTGTTATTTGTGCGTGTTATTCTAACTCATTCTTAGCAACCCATTTCTATCAAATAAAGTCTTTAAGTTTTCACGGTGCAACCTGATTTAGTAAATCAGTGATGAAGCCAAATCCAGACATGAAGAATATTCTGTTTTTTTAATGTTATTTATTATTTTTTTAAGTTCTTACTTACAACCAGGGGAAACAGATACATGTCCCGTCCTATCGAAGTGGATTATATTCTGTAAAAATGTTAAAACTGTGAATATGTTTTTGTTTTTTTGGATGTGTTGTTCTGCTATTTTGTATTTTTTTACAAAGACTGATTGTAAAACCATTCAGAAGGTATTTAATTACT